ACCAGAAAGCATAAGGGTTTTTTGTCAGTTGGTGTTATGTGAAGAATAAATATTGGCCGCTGGCGTTCTACGCAATGTTTGGGTTTAATACATCGAGTAATGAGCGATTGAGAGGTAGCAATAAAGAAGTTTTCAAGTGTGATTGTTTCCAACAGAAATTCATTCCGACCAATATGGAGCCAAGTGGGCGGGACACTTGATACCTACCAACCGTTCGCTAGATCATTTGTATTCCTAATGATCTCAAACTATGATTTCAGAACAATTTACTGCAAAGTACAGAACAAGTCTTTTTTTTGTACTCTGTCTAAGTCAATGCAGGATATCGTTTTACAAATCTTTTTTATTGCGGTGCAATCGGATACTAAACGAAGCAGTGCACAGCTAGACAGCAATAATCGCTGGTATTCTCTTTTGCAGAGGAACAATGATTCGTTGTTGGTTGAACATGATTCATTATGCAGTAGCAGACAAGGGTAGCGTGGCGGATTGAATTTGTTCCGGAGGTATTGAGGGCCATGCTATTGTCGGATCTGTAGCGTCTTCTGGTGATGGACCAAATTGTATCACTGCCTTATCTTCTTTCGCTGGGCCTTCCTGCAAACGCACCAAACTCTTAGTTAGGCGGAGCTTACCCAACCAATCAGAAAAACGTACCAATCGCGTCACTTCTAGATCAATCTTTCCAGCTGGATCGATGAACGCATATACAGGATTCATACGATATTCGGTATTGTTTGTGCATTTCACTTTGATGATTATCTTCGCTTCACTGCCATTCATTAAGGAATGCTTTGATTTGCCACCCGCCGCCGGTACTGTGCATGCAGGGGGATCTATGGCTAACGACATTATGAGTAGGAATGAATGACCTTACCGCACTCTGTGGCTTTTATACCGCAGAATGGTCAAAATATTTACTAGTATAAGAAGTGGGAATAACCGTGTGATTTCGATTGAAAGTAGTGGAAGGATACATCGAGATGCTAATGATGGAATTCACGAAGACTAACAACAATTCTGGGTTACTTGTATTGAATCTTGAGTGCTGCCATGTTCTAAGAGTAGCTCGTCAAGTGGCCTTTCCCTCTAATTTATTCTGGGCGAAGTAACTCCTCAGACAATAGTGTAACGATGCCCAAGCAGAGATAAAATCTTATGTAAGCTTTGTGTTTGCAAAAAATAA